CAATCATGTAACATGGCCTAGACCTCTATTCCTACACTTTGAGCTGGCATCCAAAACTTTAAACCTAAAAAGTGACCATATGATTAATCAAAAGAAAAATTGATGAAAAACATCCCAAATTTATAAGTTGGATATGCTGTCACAAGTCTCAATTCATCTAATATAAAACTATTTAAATTTTTCAAAATCACTAGTAATACGTATTTTTCTTTCTTCAAAGCAATACATTGAAGTAGAAATTAAAATAACTATACTCACTTGGTTGCCTCTTTGGCCTCCAGAATACGGAATGGTAAGTACAACTTACTTCGACAGAGAGGATAGAAAAAGACGAATTGATTCAATTGAACACTTGGTTTTGGGGGGGGGGGGGAACAAACCAAGGAAGAAAGACTTCTCAAAACTTAAAACAACATCCTACACACAAATTAATCACTACGTCCAATTGATGCTATGATCAATCAGTTCAGCTTCCTACACTTTTTCCTTATCTCGCCTTGAGATCGCGTAAGAGGATTAATATCTCCCATCTTGATCATTGCTTTCACAAAATCAGAGTTGAAGGTCTTCGAATCCTTGCTGTACTTTTCGACCAACGAATCGGTGGAGCCGCCGTTGTATAAAACTTGATCAGAGTGTAGGAGGCCCTTCTTGTTGATAAGGTTCTGGAAGTATTTGGTGTCAAAACCAGTAGGAGTTTGAAGGTCTAATGGAGCCAAATTGTTGTCTCCTCGGCCGACGGTTGCGGGACATTGACTCCGTCTGGTTTTAGCAAAAGAAGTGTCTATTTTGGTCTCGTTGTATATACGAGTCCGGAAGTTGGTACATCTCGCTTGCCCGATGGTGTGCGCTCCTGTTGTTAGTAACACCAAACATACAAGGCAAGGCAGGCATTTTAGAGATTGACCAAAATATTAGCATTCAAGTGGTCTGTATAATTCTCCAAATTAATCGTATGAGCCAAATTGTAAGGATTTACACTAAAAATTATACAAATTACATAAACTGATTTGAATTGGATACAACTCAACTCATGAGACCCTAATTCATTGTTAGTATTATTTAACTTCTTGTTTGTAATTAGTAATTTGTTGCATGAGAACGTCGGTGCCAATCCTAAGTGGTAAAAAGGTAAAAGGAGAAAAAGAAAAGAAAAGAAAAGAAAAGAAATGGCGGAAGTATGGAGAAATGAGTACCAGACAAGGCGACCATATCCTTTGCTGAGAGGCCGACGGCTTGAAACCTATTAATGAGGTTAGCGAGAGTAGATGCTGGACCGGAAGACGGCCACTATTGGCTTGAGAAAGGCTGGCCGTTTTGGAGTCCCTTCTCCCAAGTTTGACATCCCAACTAGGTCCTCCAAGCTGATATGATGATCCAATGAAAAATAATAAAAACAGTGAAATATAGGAACTTTATGAGCAATGGAAGTTTTTGTTTTTGTTTTTGTTTTTGGGGTGGGGGGGGTGTGGGAAGAGGAGGAGGAGGAGGATACCATATGCAAATGTAGACTTACAATGACAATGGAATCACGAGCAGCAATGGCAACAATATCGGCGCAGGACACTACACCTGGACAAACTTTTTCTACCTTTTCCTTGATGTTATCAATCACACCGAATCCTCGTACCGAATTAATGTTGGGAAAAGCAGTCTTTTCCCCTTGAAAGAAGAAGTGTCGTCTAGGAGTATAGATGCATCGCATCCCTGAAAAAAACATCATTCATGCACCTGGCAGACTTTAATACTGGTATTATATGATTGCATATATGAGGATTATATATATCTGATTCTTGTCATTAACTTTTGGGCGAAATCGAACTGATTACATTAATTAACCCCCATCAGAATCGTTGGTTCTTGTGGTGTTGCCGTGCATGGTTGGGGACTTTGGGGTGCCCTCACGCATTAAAGAACATTTTGTGAAGTCGATTAAAAATGCATCCATCGTTTTTAAAAAAAAAAAAAAAAAAGTTGTTTGGAATATTTTAAGAAGTCTGAAGAGATTTTTTTTTTTTTTTTTTTAACTCAAGCACCTGCTAAGCTGTAATTTAAAGCTCTGCATAATTTCTTGTGAAATTCAAGTGAGCCAAACTGTTTTGCAAAACCCCTATCGCAATTGATGGACAGAAATCATGAAATCAAATGCTGGAAATATTACTTGGACAAAACAATCATGAAAGAAGAGCCGAACGAGCGAAGCCCCCATTCTTCTTTCCTTGGACACGGCTGATTGGACTTCTGATCTTATGGTACCAAGCACTTTCGGACAACTCTTAGAATAGAAGCTAGTCGAGAGTTGGGCAGAGGCAAAACTGATCATTGAGTAAATAACCATAAGTAACGTGACACTGACCATAGTAAAGGAATTACGGCAATAATTAGATGAAGACGCCATGTCAAGTTTTGGTAACAAGTCGATATTTTTGAAGCTTGTAGTTGAGTCACATACAGCTGCAGTTTATATAGACTCCTAGGGGATGTTGTTTGGCGCGGGCATCTTGCCTAACAATTTAGACTACTGCATGTAACTGAAAATTTTACCATATTATACAAAGAGTGAGAGCAAAACTAAAATTAACAGAGCGAAAACAGAAGCAGACTTGGAATTGGATACTGATTGATAATATATGCACGTGAAATGAAATGGTTCAGCTTTTTCCTTTTTCTTTCGGCTGTAAGAATTAGAAAGTCTTTCTTGAATTGAAAAGGAAAATAAAAAAGAAAGAATCATTGGTTGATTGGTTGGGATGGAAAGTGGTAGGTAGAACAATCTGTCAAGTTTTGTCTGTTAAGCATGCCATTTGCTTTTTTGATAGTATTCTAACCTATAAAACTCCATGCAGGATGGGACATCTTCACGTAGAACATCGTAGACTCTTCAGCAACCTTTTGGGACCGTTAAAAGCAGCCATGCATGGAGGATAAGTACTCAAGGACTTTTGCTCGTCAGCTGCGTGATACTTTAATCAGTCTTAAGCGTCCTTTTCCTTTAATTTCACCAAGCCAAAACTATGACGGAAGAATATACCCCCCCCCTCTCTCTATAATTAACTACGATAATAAAGAGAAAACAGTTCAATGGGCTTATAGAATTAGTAACTCGTTGAAGTTTTACATGCTTTTACAAGTTACTGTTTCTTAAAAGGATATGTATGTTTCAGACAAGTCATCAAGGATACTTGGACAGCTCGAAAATTATCTTTAACCTTGTGAAACAATTGAGACTTTTCGAAAGCAACACTTTTCCCGCATAGTGAACTTTGGTCCATTTTGTCTGTCAGCATGCTTAATCAATATAGGTTGATGGAAATTTTTGGTTTGTTTCGGAGTCTTTGCCGCTTACTATTCAAAGGTAAGAGAGGTAGAGTGTTGGCATCAGCCTACAGCCAAGCAATTGAATGATGATATCATTTAATACTGCTGTAAGTTTTAATCTGTCAAATAAAGCTTCGTATTGAGGATTACCTTATCTAAGACGCAGGGAGGTATATGGAACAGTGGGTTCTTCTTTAAGGTCTAGTAGAGGTTGTCTTACTAATTTTTTTCATAGTCTCACATCGTTTCTTTGGAGTTGGAGGGTTGGGTGGTTAAGTTCTCAGGTTTGCCTCAAGAGTTGTCGGCTTTTGAGAGTTAAATCTGAGATTATATTTAATTAACTAACTTCAAAAGTCTGAAAAAAAAAAGAGGATTACCTTATCCACAAAAAATATCCAGAAAATCGGTGTGGGGGTTTTTCTTTAAAACGAAGACAACAATCGTAGGGCTAGCTCATAAATTTTTTCTTCAAAATTACTGTTACGACCGTCTAACCATGGGCGAAACCTCAAAAAAAAAAAAAAAGTGTGTCAATTTCAGTAAATGTGTTTGAAGAAATTGGCCGCGACCTTGTTCTCTTTACTAATATTCAGATATTTCACCCCTAAGTTTTTGGGCTAAGCCTCGAAAAAATGCGATTAATAGAAAATTAAGAAGTATGATTCATTGGTAATTTAGTTCTTTTTTCAAAGTGCACAGAAAATTAGACAGCCTTGTTTTTTTCTTTTTGCTTCAGGCCCTTTCTTCATATGCTTAAAAGAGTTTATCTTAAGGATTGTTAGCACAGCTAAATCACAACTAACTTACCGTGTTAATACACGCACTCACAATTAGTGCACCTCCACATTTAGACGCTTTCTCAAATTAATTACACTTTTTCAAAGATCAACATCTGAATCATCTCTTAACGAATGCCCATTAAGTACCAGTTAGTCAAATCGACCATATAAACAAGATCTTAAAAGCAGGATAGAAGGTAGAATAATAAATAATTAATTTAATAACTGCATAAGTATCATGTCAATTGGGAGTACTACCTTTAAAATTCTCAATTACTTAATTTCTTGAAGAAGCGTGCGTGGGGTGTCAGATCCTTCATGTACGTACCTTGGATCCACACTGGTTTCATGAATACAAAAGGTTCTACTGAGTATGATTGGATGAGCTTACGCTGCTTGACTATGATATGTGCATAATTTTATGATTGATCCCGTCGCTGTAAACAAGTAAAAGAAAAGCAAACTAGTAATGTGATGGTTTATAAGGTCAAGCGATCCTGATCATGCGATTGCCAAGATAGACTTGCAATAGCGTAGACATACATGAGTTAGGTTCACCATTGAAATAGAGGCGACGGCCGACGGCTGACGGCAACTTTTTTTCGTTCAAAACCAAATGCCTTTTCGTTCCTTAATTGGATATTCCAAATCATGTTTTAAAAAAAAAAAGGAAAATGTAGTTTCAAATCATTAATTTAGGTAATCTTCACTTCTTCGGTCCAACGTTTACGATAATTAAAGAAAACATGCATTACTTGATCAGTTGCCAACTGCCGACAGCTGTATCCAAGACTATCGTGCTAATTAATTATTTATGAGCTTTTCTTTTTTTTTTTAATCTTATTATCCTCATGTAATTAGGAAAACAAAATCCCCCGAGTCCATAAGATGAGTTTTGATTGGTCTCATGAAAACAGTAGAGTGCATCACTGCAACAGATGTATTGATGGTTATTTTGGCTATTCATTCATACAACAGAGCAGGAACTCAATTTCTCTAACCCGATTTTGTTCATCCAATTAAGCAAGGGAAGTAGTTGAATGAATGGAAATCTACATTCATACCACACGTACACTTTCTTGTTAATAAACTAAGCAGCCTTATTTTTTTTTTTTTTTAAAAAAAAAAGAAAGCAAGAAAGAAAGAAACTCAAGCAAACTTTGGCTGCTTTTGATTTTTCTATTTGGTAGCAAGTAGCAACGCTGTCAACACCTAATCCTTGATGTTATCTTCTCCTTTATAATATGAGAATCTAGGTGTCTAGGACGCATGCCCCCGATTAGACTTCTATTGACGACTACTAGTTCTTGATTAATAGCCTCGAGAAATTAAGCAACTGTAGGAGATGGTCATGTTCTTTTTTTCTTCCTTCCTTCTTTTGATAACTCTTGTCCCCGATGAAAATTACAGCTTAACTACTCCGGCAGCTTTTTGTTCCACCTGTCACACGATCACAAGGCAAAAATATCAAATTAAAACAAGGTTTTTTGGTCTAATCAACTTATTTTCTAATTTTAGATTGAGGGACTTATTGTGCCGTACGTATGAAGTGCTAAAACAAAGGGTTGGACTCCAAATATATAGGTGATTTATGCAAGTATTTTGAACTTTGAAGGCTGGCCACGAGCCTTTTTTCTTCCCTCTGTAAGAGCAAAGAATTTGTAACGGTAAAATCTTGAGCACTTGCTGATGGTATAAATTTGTACCAACACGTAGTAGTGCTACTACGTAATAATGGACTAAATATACATGCAAGTGTTTGGTCATAAGTTAAAACCTGATCCGCAGCCATTTCCTAAAGCACTCAATCTGTAACTAAATGTGACATTGCACCCAGCAAAAACCAAAATTTCCTTTTCCCTTGTAGCCAAGTCAATTTAATTATTAGAGGAAACAAAACTAGGGCCGACAAAACTATTATACGTACATTAATCCTGGCTGCAGCACATAAAACTGTCGGTGGTGCACAGGGAAATGGAGTGGTATATTCCATGCAGTTGTTACAAGAAAGAGCACATATATGGCAGATCGATCATTGGAGATGTTTGCATGGTTGTTGCTGCTGAACGGAGAGGGGTGCACCAGAAGATGCAGGAGAATATATGTGCATTCTGCATAATGCATTGACAGTGAATTTTTCTGTCTTTTCAGTTAGTTAGATGGCTGGAACTGGTTGAACTCTGTGGTTCTGATACTGAATACTTTTGTACTGGTTTGGGCGTTCACCTCCCTGGTGTATGCTTAATCAATGATAGAATTAAGGAGCTTACAAAAAAATTAAAAATAAATAAAAATAAAAAACGGCGAAAGAACACGTATGAAGTGATTTGGTTCATACCAACATAACACGAGAGGAGACATTTTACGCACATAAAAATATTCGTGGGAACAAGAAATAAATTCAATAATATAATATCACTAACTCAATTATAAGAAGAAGATAACTTGCCAGTACTTTTGCTCTTGAGAGAAGACAAATAACAAGACTCGATCGTGCTGCTCATATTTCATTAACTTTGAAAGTATTGTATGTAAAGTACTTTATATAAAGTGGGAATGTCACTTCAATTGTTGTTGGTCTTTCGCCCTCCTACTCATGTGCGGATCACATGGCCGTGCAAATCCGGTTGCTGGTCCCAAGTGGGCTGATGCCTTTTTGCTCCTCCGTCTGTCCGTCATCATGCACTGTCATTTTTTGCATCCCCTGCACCACCTATCTTCTATTTTTTCCCCCTGAATTCAGATCGGTCATTATCCATTATTTTCTTCTTTTTTATATACCCATGCTGTTTTCTTCCCCTCTACTTCTTTGTTTTTATATTATATTATATTATTTTATGTACTGTATACCTATATTCTATTTAGTCTATATTTCACTATTCAGTATTTGCTTTTATATTATTTCGCGATTCAATAGTTGCTTTCTTTTATATTGTACCTATGCTGTTTTTTTCCCCTCTCCTCCTTTAGAAAAATATTTAATTTTTTTAAAATATATTATCCTTTTTCTTTATCCCGTATTTTATATTATTTATTCTATTGCTATTGCTGCCTGACTATTTTTTTCCCCTTTTTGCATGATAATTTTCGTTTTGCAATCTTCTTTATAATTTTCTTATGTGATGTATCTTATCTATATTGTAATGAAAATATTATTAATCGTGATAACAGTAACACTTATTATTATAGGGCTAATACTAATGACAGATTAGTATAATATCTTATCTATATTGTAATGGCGATATTAATCATAATAATAATGGTACTTATTATTATAAGCCTAATACTAATGATAGATTAGTATAATAAGCCTAATACTAATGATAGATTAGTATAACTAAAACAGAACATTAATAATCGCTGTTTTTCCCTCTCCTCCTTTGAAATAAATATTTCATTTTTTCTAAAAATATTTTTTCCTTTATCCTGTATTTAATATTATTTATTCTATTGTTATTGCTGACGGACTATCTTTTCCCTTTTGCATAATAATTTTCGTTTTATTTTCGTTTCCCAGTCTTATTTATCATTTTTCTTATATGATGTATCTTATCTATATTGTAATGAAAATATTATTAATCATGACAACAATAGCACTTATTATTATGGGCCTAATACTAACGACAGATTAGTATAATATCTTATCTATATTGTAATGACAATATTATTAATCATAATAATAATGGCACTTATTATTATAAGCCTAATACAAATGATAGATTAGTATAATTAAACCATAACATTAATAATCGAGCCAATACAATCAGACGCCTTGCCTGTTTCTTCCATTGGTCGGCGGAGTCACCTTTCAGCATACGCAGCCTGCAATCCATTAGTTTTTGGCATCTCCACGCAAGAATTGCACGTCTCTAGACACGCTTTCTCGGGTTCTCATGCATGCAAGAGAATCCAGGTAATCATTTGAATTCCTTTCCCTTGCATTTCAGCGTTCTTTCCTTATTCTTTTACTTCGTTTTGTACATTGCTTCCACTTCTTTTTCGCCGAGCTTTTCTTTTGCTCTGTTTCCTTGTGCATCTTTCTTCAATCACTGTTATTGCTGTTTTCCTGCTGTTTGCTATTACATCTACTGTAAGTGCTGCTCCAATTTCGCTATCCCTATTCTTGTAATACTCTTTGTCCCTATTCCCCCATATTCTCCTGCTTATCATGCTTACTGCTTTATTCTACCTAGGGTGGAGCTGATTCAAACTACTCAACTCGAGCTCGATATGTACTCGATTAGAAGCTCAAGCTCGAGCTCGCTTAATCGATCTCGAGCTCGATCTCGAGTTGCTCGTTAGAGCTATCGAATCGAGGTCGAGCTCAGAAGTTTGATATTTGAGAGCTCGACGAGCTCTATCGAGTATCACATAAAAAATTAAAAAAAATTATATATAAAATTACTAATATAGGTAAATAAATTCTGAGAAATTACCGATGAGTACCTTTATCGAGTCGAGCTCGAGCTTTTTAAGGACTCGATCGAGCTCGAGCTCGAGCTGTGATTCTCCGACTCGATCGAGCTCGAGCTCGAGCTCGAGTATAATTATATTATAGCCGAGTCGAGCTCGAGTATAGCGGTACTCGAGCTCGACTCGGCTCGAATACACCCCTAATTTTACCTGACTATGCTATTATTATTCATCCTGCATTTTTTGTTGCTTTACACTTCTTTGTTCTATCGTTTTCATTTTCATTCCGTTATTGTCTCTTATTGTTTTAGCTTCACTTTTTAATTTCACTTCCACCCAGTTTTTCTGTTGCCTCTGTTCCTTTTTTGTCGGCTTTCCTGCTGAAACATTGCCTCTGTTGTATGTGTTTCATATGCTGTCTTGATCATCTTCGCTTTCATGCTATTATTGTTTCTGCACTTTGTAGCTTTTTGCCATTTTTTGCTTTTTTCATGGCCCTCTTGCTTTCCTCCAAGCTCTGCTTGCTGCGCATTGCTACTTATTTTCCTGCTTCAGCAAGAAAGGTACCTAGCCTTTTTTTATTGTGCTTGAGCCGGTATGCTTACTGATCCATTGAACTCTGTCCTTCTCCTTTTAGAAGCATTGTCTCTGTTCTATATGTTTCGTATGCTTTCTTGTACATTTTGGTTTTCATGCTATTATTGTTTTGTACCCTTTGTAGCTTTCTGTCATTTATTGCTATTTTTTCGTGGCCCTCTTCATTTCCTCTAGCTTTTGCTTGCTACAAATTGCTACTTATTTTCCTTGCTTCAGCAAAAGGTACTTAACATTTTTTTATTGTGATTGAGCCGTTATGTTTACTAATCCATTGACCTCTATTCTTCTCCTTTTATTAGACAACAATTATTAGCTACTTTGTTCTCCATTTTGTGTGTTTGCCACGTTATCTTCTTCTGCGTTTACTTCCTGCCTAATCTGCTTACTTTGCGGTTGCAATACCTGTGCCCCGTTTATGTAGTTCTCTCGCAAGTCTCGTATCATGCCATATCATGGATAGAAATGCAAAGCGCCAGAAACATTATGCAGAAATGCCCCCAGAAACGTCTTCTTCCAAAGCTAAAGCTTGTCTTCTGCAAAAATTTGACGAGTCTGATGAAAGTAGGCAATTAAGCTCTGAAGCTCCTCAGTGCAGCCCAGGAAAAAAATCAGACAAGCTTAGAGTAGTTCCTTTTCCAAACAAGGCATATTGTTTTTGCTGCATTCTCTGCTATGTGTCTTTGTGTGGTGAAGGAAACCAAGTCTCAACTTTTTGGAGCACTGTCGTGCTACTGATGTGCCTATGAAATGCTATGAATATTCATGCGGCTGAACTATGTTTTTTGCACACTGTTAAACATTGCCTATTAATCTACATGCCTTTTGCAACTTAATTTGAAAGTAGCATAATTGCTATAATGTTTCCACATTATCTGGTATCATTCGTGCTGTTTGAAAGTAACATTGATTGCCAACAGCAACACTTTTTGCCATTCAATATAATTAGCAAAGCTTTTTCACTTTCCAGTGCATTTCTTCTGAAATAATGTACATGAATTAACTATTGCCTCCAAACACTAAACCACATTAACCCTTCTTCCAAGACTGCTTTTCTGCATTCATTACTCCTGCAGGTGTTAGTTCAACCACTTTAAATAAATGCACTGGTTACACAGATACTCTTACAGCCCAATTAATGCTACATGTTCTTGTTATCAAGCCTCTATTATATATATAACAAGAACAACCTACTAAAATCTACATCCTCAGAAGCCTATTATAGTTATTGACAAACAAATATGGAATCCTTTGAAAGTGTTGGATCCTCCAGTCTTCCACCAAATATTACTGGCAGCATGGAATGCTGTTTCTTCTTTAGCTGTAACAATTCTAAACAGGTACTTTTGCTTCTATATAGTTTAGCTTTTCTCATGCAGTGTAAATTCTTTTGCTAACCAGAGTGTTTTCAAATTAATTAGATATTCCCTGCTCAGTTTCTGCTACTTCTAAGAAAACACCAACAACATAAGATAACTATTCAAGAAGGCTATAGAACATGGACTATCAGTATTTTAGAAACTTGGTTTGGAGAAGGATGGCAAGACTTCTGCAAGAATAATATCATCCGTGAAGATGACACAATGTTCCTTCGACATTCCGGAAACTTGTTGTTTGACGTGCTCCATTACTCAGCAACAAAAACGCATGACTACTTACCTTGGACTGAGCCACCACCCAATCTGTTAGATACTCCAGGACATGCTATCCTAAAAAGTTAGTTTTCTCCAACTTGAACACTTCCAGCTTTTAGCATTATTCTCGTTTTATTTGCCAGCTTTGTATTCTTACCTTTTTATGAAACACAGCACAGAGAATGCAGTGTCAGAAAGTAGCGTCGGCAATGAAACCAAATTTCGTTCAAGACATCACTGATGGTTTATCATTCTATGAGATCTTCACTCAGCAAAACCAGCAAGTAAGTTTCAGTTATCTCCTGTTTTTTTTTTCATTTATTACTTTCTTTCCCACTAATATATATAATATTTTTTTGCTGAACACAAAAAGTGCCCAAATTTGTATCCTTCTTCATACACTGTGACAAAACTCCTCTGATCACCTAAGAATTGGAAACAAGACAATCACTCTTGGAATGCGTCAGAGACAATTTACAACTAACTGGAACACGTTTAAGTTTGAACATCAGCTAGAATTTGGCGACACACTAGTATTTATCCCCGAAACAAAGTCCTACTATACTGTCATAATCTTTGACAATATGGAGTCGAAAAACTGTCTCCTTGGTACAATAAGTTCTGCATCTTCTCTGATACACCAACCGGTAGAACTTAGCCAACTTCTTTTACATTTATTCTACGAGAAACGTTGTCCTTCTTAAATGTTCAGTAAACATATGAATGCCAGCTTTTACTGTCCATTATTTTTTCAATACCAAATTTACCTTAGCAATTTATCTACGAAAAAAGTTGTCACAGAAGTGGATCCTTTATTGACGACTTTCTAACTCGTCACAAACCTCTAATGGGAGCCAACTCATTTGTGACAATTTAGAAAAGTCGTCACTAGTAAATTCCCGCCAAAATTTAGCAGAGCGCGGGAGTGTTTGGAACACACAATAGTGAC